TAACAGTAGCAAAATTAAAGTTATGAAGTAGCAACGAAAATGATTTTATGGTTGGGGGCTCACCACAACATGAGGAACTGTATTAAAGGGTCGCGGCATTATGAAGGTTTAGAACCACTGTGCTAGGTGGTAACAAGGTAAATCACATCCCTGCTCCATGGCCAAACAGGATTCAGCGGAGACTCAATCCACATGCATTTCCCCTTCACTTTTTTGTGTTTTTATATGAAACAACTTTAAGATAGGTCAAAAGGAAGATCAAATGATAAGGTATTACATTTAACATAACTACATCTGCTATTTTCCTGTAGTGCTTGTTTTAAAAATTCCAATTGCTGTAACAAATAAAGAAAGGTCCTCCCCACCTCACCCCTCCTCCTTCAGAACACTTACACAAAATAATTTGAATACTAACCCCTGGTCTCTTCTAGGGGCTTGATTTGCGCCTGGAGCACACGCACTTTTTCAGTCACCATGGAGAAGGTGGACATTACCATTGTGATACTACCCCAGATACAGTGGAGTACCTTGGATACTTCTCACCTGCAGAGTTTCTCTTCCGGATTGATCAACCAATGGAAAGCCATTCATTTGGGCGAGATTAAACAGCTGACACTCATTTAGAGAAAGAAATAATTAAGTTTTTTTTTTCTTAAAATTTAAATCAAGCTTACTAATTGATATGAACATCAAATGGACATGATTAAAACTTTGAGATTAAGGGATATTTTCAAACTGAATTCTGTCTTATAAATCTATCTTAGAGAAATGATTGTGCACAGAGACGCATAATTGAGATACTCGTTTTTTTCTATAATGTCAATAAAATCAGAATCATGATTCATGGCTGTAACACACCGAATTGAGTCCCCCCAAATCTGTGTGTTAAGTCCTGAACTCTTAATTCCCGTGGGGTGTGTCTTGAGTCAATGGGATAGAAAAGGGATGAAACAGGAGTGAGCAGGCAGAGATGGGGAGGAGAGGCCCAGCCACCATCAGATCACCCACTAGGAGCAAAGGCTCTAAGAAACAAAGACCTTTCTCCAAGGCCCAGCAAACAAGAAAGACTTCCTAGGAGCTGGGAAGTCTGACCTCCCAAACTGTGAGAAAATAACACTGTATTTGTTAAAAAGACACCCGTGTGTGCTATTATTGTTATAGTACCACTAGATAACTATGCCTTAAATAGGAATTAAACCAGAAGTCATGTGATTATTGTCTCATGATAAACTTTCCAAATTAGCCTCACATCCTTTGTTTAGATTGACAATTAGAAACAGTTTGCACCTTGTTGACTATTGGTAAGAAGAGAAAAGAAACAGCATTAAAATACAACATTGAGGAGCTGCTACCAAGGGCTCAAGTAGAAAGCAAATGTTTTGAGAATGATGAAGGCAACAAATGTACAAATGTGCTTGACACAATGG